AAACCCGATAGCAAAAACAACATCAGCAACAGCGGCCCCAACAACAATGAGCACTAATCATTTTGTTTTGACGCAGACGTTGACTTAGAAGGGGGGCAAATACAGCAGTAACAGCAGCAACAACAACAACAGCAGCAGAAGCAGGTGGAGAGGCAATGCGAATATCTAATGATGTATTGTCGACTTCTATATATGCGATGTCTGGAACTATTCATTCGCTTGGCTGTGAACGCCACAACAGCAATCTGATTGAGGTGGGCCCGCCGAAAATTTCAAATGCTCATACGTACATACACCAATGCATATGTATGTATGTACGTACGTACATACACATGTATTATGTATGTAGAAGTTAAAGTACAACAAGCAAGAATATGGCAAACGCAACCGACTGCGCAATACCCTTCGATTCAAACTTTTGTGTTGATCATCAGTTGCCCACATGTTGGCTAATTATTCGTAAGCTGGATTTTCGCGTGACAACGTTGCCAACGGAACGGAAAAATAGATATGCATATATAAATGTGTATAAAAACGCCAGATATAATGATGGCCGATATAAAACGCACAGCAATAATACAAGATTCCAGATGCAATTGTATTGATTAGCTCGACTCCAAAAAGGAGACAGTTGCCAGCGAGACGTTTCGTCTGACAGATACCCTGTACCTAGCTACACACTTATAGACACGACACACAAGAGCCAAGCTGGGGCCCAGCTTATCTAATCTTCAAGAGGAAAAAACTGTAGCTATAAAATCCATATACTTATCAATGCATATACATTCACGGCCAGTTCTGTATGCACTCTACAGAGTATTATTGAGTCGGCCATGTTTCTTGTGTTTACTATCGTTGGACGCTGAAGCTTTGCATACCAATATAACCTGAAAAACAGAGTCGCGACAACGCCCCTCGATCATTAACAAATCTAGTGAGCAGAAAATTGCATTTAATATAGTCACAGAGGGGGCGGGCAGCGGTCAGCGGTCAGCGGTCAGCGGTCAGTGGGCAGGGGGCGGTGAGCAGATGACAGACTGTGAAGGCTAACATGTCGTCGCCAGTTGCTGACTAACTCAAATCACGAGACCTGGCATCGAGAGCGAACGTTAGAGAGAACATTAGCGTTAGACTGGCGGGTAATAGGTATGAAGAGAAATCTAAAGAAAATGCTGAGCGTGTCTTGCGAGAGAAGTCTAGTTAAATTGTAAGCCATTTCAGTTGGCTTCCTGTTTGAATAATCGCACTGCAGATCTAACAATTATAGAAAACAGGCCCTGACAAAAATCCCCTATGCAAGTGACGCACTCCGGCATTAAGAAAGATTTACATAGATCCAAGTAATGCAACGAACGCATATGCATTGGGTTAAGCAATAAACAAGAGTTTCCATCCAAGACAAAATTGCCCGACCTACGTTCGAGTGGAGGTTGGATTATCCTGAAAATGATATAATCTTAAGTTATGCTACAAAAATCCAGTATTCAAATTAAAACTTATTGATATTATGGAAATAGCTGAGAAACAAGCTGGTTCAACTGCGCAGAAACAACAGGCTTGCATCAAATGATGGCTAGAACATTTGGTAAACATGCCCTTCAACTAGAATATGGAAAAACAATAAAGCCTTAGCAGGAGAGCCTTAAACAATATGACTTGAGTATCGAAGTACAATAGACGCAGCTCATATTAATCTTAAGCAATTTACACTTAAATAAGCAACTTCGGATTAAATAATCTATCGTATTTCTATTCTAGACATTATAATTATCTGATATTCTTATGATCACACAATCATAATCAAAAGAGAACTGCGTTTTAAATGTATTGTATGCACATAAATTAGGGAAAAGCTTTACACAAATATCCAACAATTGAATTGTGGGTAACCATGGCAAGAATATTCAAGTGGATTAAACACGCCCCAGCTTAGCTGCCAGCGGGATGGTATGATTGATGGGGAAGGGGAGGAAGGGAGGATTGACTGACTTATTTCATCACGTCTTGTTTTAGCTACGCCAGCTACCGGCTACTGCTGTTGCCAAGGACCGCGCCAGGTGGCCATTTCCGAGCACGACCTTGTAGACACTATTAAATTCTATTAAATGTACATTGGCAAACAGTCGAACGACACCCAAGAGCGGAATATCCACAGACAGCAACGGCCATATAATGGTAATCGAGTACAAAATAAATACACAAACAACAAACACCCTCGAATCGACAGGCATCGGAAAGTGGCAGCACCAAGAGTGTCCCTATAAGCCATTATGCTTTCTAATCAATACGCAGACAAGTCTTGTACAATATTGTTTTCGAGAGTGCATACCCTGTTCAATTCGCAAATTCGAGTGTATCTGAGTCGAGCTCCTGACGAAAGTCAATTCCAAGAGGACCCAAACAAGCAACTGGCTATGTTATATATATAGATCTGAGGCACTAAATGGGTATTCGAAGTCAAGTTCGATTTGATTTAGAATCGAATTTAACAGATTTCAATTGAAATAATCCCACATACAGTTCAATACTTCTTATTTCCTTAAGCTCGCTTCCTCGCTTCCTTTTTACGCGATATTATAGTTCTTAAGATCTTTGAAATAATGCATATCAGTTCCAGGTTTTTCAGCAAATCAGTTTGTTTATATTAAGTATTGTTTTTTAAAATTAATTAGCTGACATTTTAATTTTTTTGCATGCATTTCTTGCAGAAAGTCGAAGAAGGCTACAAAAATGTGTGTTTCAAATGAATCAAATGTTTTTCAACTGTTTTATGTTCTTAAGTAAAACCTTAAAGCTTAAGATAACTAACTTCGGTAACTATAAATATATATATGTGTGTGTGATGTATGTGATGTAATAGTGCGACCGACTCAGTCAGAAATCAGACGGAATTGTGCCAAGTTTTCTTTTCCTTGAGAAACTACAGAGTCCAGGATACAAAAAAATGCACATATTTCGTGCCAGTTGATTTTTCACTGTACTTTCGCCGAGTTTTCTTTAAACAATTGCAGACCGTGTGCGTGTGCACGTGCAGGGTATTTTAGGGTCGAGTTACTGCACTAGCTGCCTGTTGTTTTTGTTTTTGCCACGTGTGTTGTGCTGCCTGCTACAAAAGCTACGCAAACAACCTTCCTCAGTGCCAGAATCATAGACACAGATACATACATGCATACATTTGTACATACTTACATACTTAAATTAGTCAAAGCGCCGACACCGCTGCCAGCGTCGCTGTCGCCACCGCACAGTGGGACAATGCTCGAATTAAGCAGGCTCGATTTCATTTTATAATCGAAAGCAGCGCAGAGTTTATTTAGAAAGATAGTCAAAGTTAAAGTCAAAGAAATACAATAATTAATTTTGCACGCCTTTAAGATGAAGACCCAGCCAGCACCAACCCATGGATTTAGCTAAACATATTCGTTGGATGCCAAATTTATCAATCAATTTCTTAATGAACATATCTAGGGCTTCCGATATCTACAGCAGAAAGGGCAAAAGAGAGAAGAAAAAAAAAACTGAACTGTTTCGCACAAACTGTTGTCTATTAAATTTATGTGCACTTTATTGGTTTTGAACCACTGTGCGACGCAGCCGATGCTTTGAATTCTGTAAAAACGTGCGCACAGATGTTAGCAGGGGGAGGGGGCTCCAAGTTGACACAACATACAACAAAAACAAAAAAAAAGGAGAAAAAGAAAAGAAGAAGACGCGTGGCGTCCAATCAAAGGCAAACAAGTCTTTTAAATTTAATGCTGCTCTTTTTTTTATTGTAATTAGTATTCATGTTGTTTTTGTTGTTGTAAAGCGCCGTTATCAAAACCAAAGCACAAATCTAAGTTGTTTTTTTTTTTTTTTTTGGTAAGTTTTCGTATAAGTATGCAAGTATTCGAAAGGTGGAGGTAAAAGCGAAGAAAAGGCATAAGCCAAAATGTTGAAATAAGAAAATAAAAACAACAAACCTGTTCCGCCGCGCACCGCATACGTTGTTGTCGCCTGGATGGATGAACTGGTGCCCGAACCCGCGCCGCCGGCTCCACTGGTTTTTGTGAATTTTAAGAGCATTGTGTTGATCCGTTTTTGTTGTTGTTGTTGTTGTTGTTGTTACTCTTGTTGCTCTTATTTGTCGTATATATTTTGGTGTCCAAACAAAATGCAGCAACAAAACAAAACGAAAACAAAAACAAAACAAAATAGCAACAGAAATGTCTTGTATTTTCACTTTTCAGTTATTTATTGTTGTTTTATATATATACATATGTATGTTTGTTATGTTTGTTATGTTTTGGCTGCTGCTTCGCCCAACAGGCTAACGGTAACTAACCAACACTTTGATAATACGGAGGCGAGGCCCAAAGTTCGAACGTCGCCAACGTCAGCGGCTGCGGGGTTTTGTCTATTTCTTTCTATTTTTAGTAACGAATTGTTTTTTCTCTATTGCGGCGGCTATTGACACAGGGACGACGACGACGACGACGACGACGAAAAGGCGCACACACAAATCGCGCCTGGCTCGTTTTGTTGCCGTTTCGTTTGTTCGCTCCTTTGGCTGGCTGCACAATCGGTTTTTTTTTCTATGAATTTATCAATTATAACTATTCACTATTCCACATACTTTGTTACTGTAGTATTGTTGTTATTGTTGTGTTGGTTTTTTTTTTCTTTCTATGCTTTGCTCATATGTTTATGCACGCGATGCGCGTGTGTGTGTGTTAGTTTTAATTGTGTTCAAGATTGTTAAATTACTGTTTAATATGGCTTGCGGTTCATGCATTTTATGCTGCAACTGTGCTTCCTAGCATGCACTTTCCATGTGTATGGTTTTTGTTAATTAACACACGTTTTGCACTTGAAAAAAAAAACAAAAATAGTTGATAAAATTCTAGTACGACGCTGGCCCATTTGCATTCAACTGGTTGCGCAGTGCTGCCGGATCATTAACAGACGGCCATGTGCCAGGGCTAAGCAACAATCAAATTATCGATAGGTCTTATCGAGCCCGATATACACAGTGACCAGCTGGCAACTTTTCCAGCTGACAATGCAAATTTCAAACAAAATAAGAAAAACAAAAAAAAAAAACGGGCAAGTGTGCTTAAATTATAGAAACCAATGCATATTTATTAAGTAAATTGCAAAGTATGATGTCGGCTGACTTTTGTGGGGTTCCATCGCTACATTTAAACAAGCAATCGTAGGGGACCGTGGCATAAAACACAACGGATAAGATAATTCGGCTCAGCGATAATTTCTTGATAAACAAAGGGACTGACTTAAAACTTTTTCCAGCTGTATTTACGCAAAGATTGCGTGCATTTAATATTAAGTACAGAAGCTAGTCAAATTTGGAGCGTCGAGCATGTGTGTCATATTCTTCTATGCCAATTCGCAGCCGAACGCCAATGGCTATAAGCTCATATTGGCCTCCAATCGTGACGAGTTCTTCGCCCGCGACACACAAACGGCGGCCAAATGGACAAATGCGGATCACGTATATGGCGGTAAGTTAGGTAAGAGGGTAGATGCGTTAACAATTTACTTCAACATTTACAATCGCTGCAGGCATTGACCTGGAGCCAGGACGCGAAGGTGGCACTTGGCTGGCCATTGGCAGCGCTCACGGCATCTTCAAAGTGGGCGCACTGCTCAATCTGACCGGGGAGCCAAAGCCGCGCAATGCAGTCGGTAAACGCAACTTACACACACACACACACACGCATAGACACAACCATTGAGGTGGCACCATAACCCTATCCATTCCATCCTCTTAATTCCTAATCACTCATAAACTGATAACGCACCAAAAATTTCTTTGTTTCGAAGCGCACAAAAACATTTTGCAACCGCATAATAATACCAAGAACAGCTGCAACAGCAACCAGAACAAACAGCGGCAATCAAATAACGAACATTTCTTACTAGGACGCGGCATGATCGTGGCAGACTATGTGCGCCAATCCGATGTCGAGCATAACATTATCAACTATAATCAAAGTCTACTGGCGGACTGCACCAAATACAGTGCGTTCAATTTTGTATCCATTGAGATTGGGTATGTGTAAATACGATTTAGTCAGTTGGTTGATTTATTAATATCCGTTTATTGACATTTCTAGCGACGTTTCGCAGCCGGCACAGATCAAGCTGCTGAGCAATGTGCCGCCCACGCTGATGCCCTTTGAACAGGGGCAATGCTACGGATTTGGCAACAGTCTGCCGGACAGTCCATTCGAGAAGGTGCGACACGGCCAACAGCAATTCGAACAGATTGTCAGCGAACATGGCCATTCGGATGTGGCCACATTGAGTGCTGAGCTCCTGCAGCTGCTAAAAAACAAACATAAATTCTGGCCAGATGCGGAGCTGAAGCGCCGTGCGCCCAGCTGGGGTGAGGGACTGAGTGCTCTAAATGTGCACATTCCTGAGCACGGCTACGGCAGTCGCACACATTCACTTATCCTGGTCGATGCCAACAATAAGCTGCATTTCATTGAGGAGACCATGGCGGGCTTGGATCCCAGCGGCGAGTGGGAGCGAACGCACATTGAAAAACAGTTTGAAAACATTTAAGCATAAAGACTTTTTCTCTAATACTTCCTTACGTGCAGCTGCTGTATGCATGCATATTTTGTTAATAAGGTAAAATATCAAAATTCATAAATATTTCAAAGCTCAGCCAAAATTGAAAGCAACAAACCGATTTCTTTCAAATGAACCATATTAGTTGAATCTTTGTAAGATTTTAAACGCATGCACAGCAAAAATAAATTTCTCACTAATTTTTAAATACGAATTTTCACTTAAACTAGACAAACAGACCATACATAGCCTTAAGACTGTATCCTATATCTGGTTAACATATTCAAGCAAAAGAAAAGTATTCTAAATATACTCGTAAGTAGCACATTTGTATGGACTTTGCACAACTATTTTAATATTATTTGTAGTGCTATATAAAACTACACTCATATGATGCCATGTATGTAGATAAGCACGCATAGACTACGTGTAACGCATAATAAAGTCCACATCTTTATAGTTGCGATTGTAATGTGTTACTTTAAATGCAGAAGACTTAAATATATATTATATATACATTTGTTTATATCTCTTTTTTTTTGTTTCGTAATAACAATAAATCCCTTGAAAAGAAAATTGAAATCAATATGAGCAGTTATTCGTTATGTTAGCCTTTTCTTTGGTAGACCAAATATTTATAAGTTATAACTAAAATGTATAACATCTGATAATACCAATAAATCTTGAATGCCTTGTTAAAAACAAAACCTTTGCATATTATTTTTTCTTTGAACGTTCGGATTACAACTATAATAATATATATTTTCCAAGGGATACAGTTTTGCAAAAAAAAAAAAAAAATAAGAGTATCTACGAATAATATTATAAATTTATGGATGCTTTGTGTATTATAGTTGTTGAAGTTATTAAAAAATAAACACATTATAAAAATATATCAGACGCTGTGCTGCAGTTCTTTCCGTCGCTTCACACACCCCGCATTCCCAGACGATAAAGGGCTAATCTATACATTTCATATATCATTTTATGTATATAGTTAAGCAAAATAACAGCAGATTATACAAATTATTCAAGGTATCTTTATGATCAAGTTTTGTTAGCTGTTTACCGTCTACTTGTAGCTTTTGCCAACACGTCCACGCTTGCTACCGCCGCCGCGCGCTGGTCGTGCTGTTGTTGATTCGCCACCATCAGCACCAGCGCTACGCAAGACGCTCTTGAACTTGCGCGAGTTCATGGCCCGTTTGCTGCAATTGATAGTAAATGATTGAGTAAACAGTAGGTTATTGATTGAGTAAACAATTACCGTTTGTTAAGGGTATTTCGTGTCAGCGGTATGTACGCATAGGGATCCAGTTTGCCGCGCTGTTTCATGTCGCCCTTGGCTTTTTTGCTGCTGTACTCGCTGCCGGCTGCTCTGCTGGCGGCTCCACCAGATTTGACAGACATGGCATCGTGTCCGGCTGTGGCGCCGAGCGTACGATGTATACCCTTGCGTGTGCTGGCGCTGGTCTTGCCTGAGCGCATGCTTAATGCATCGCTGGCCTTACGCTTGCGCTTGGCACTGCTCGCCTGTTGCAGTTCCTCCTCATCACTGGAGTCCTCCTCCATACCGCGCTTCGGATTGCCATTGCCCGGCTCATGGCCGCTACCCGCCGAGGAATCATCGCTCTCGGAGCCATCCTCAATGGCATCACCTTTCTGACCACGCAGCGCCTTGTCGCTGATTATAAGACGACCGTCATCGGCGGTCTTGAAGCCGCCATTAGCCGCCTGTGGCTTCGATTTCGACGGTTTGCCAGGCACGGCAGCGGCAGCAGCTGCAGAGCCACTTGCTGCAGAAAAATATTGAGTTAGAGGCTGGACAGATTTTTGAATAGAGCATGAAGCTTACTTAGCACATTGCCAATTGACTTGAGATCGGCCAGATCGACAATCTCATCTGCATCTTCGCGTATGTAGGTGCTGCGCGCTTGCTTGGACTTGGATTTTGTTTTGGACGTACGATTCTTGGCAGCAGCGCCGCCTTCCTCAGTTTCCATATCCTCCGGCAAATCTGAGTCCGAGTCGGCCAAAATGTCATCGATGCTGCAAATAGTATATGGAGCTGTTGCTTTAGCTGAACATGGTTGAAATTCTCTTGATAACTTACGTATAGCTCTTCTGCTCGAGATCCCCTACGAGCTCATCATCAGAGCTCTCGGCCTGGGCCTCCTCGTTCTGCTTTTTGCGTGTATCACGACGCATTTGCTTGCGTATCTTTTTGAGACGGCGATGGGTAACCTCATCATCACCTGGCACAAAGCGTGCCAGCTCCTCTGTGGTAAAGCGTTTGCACAGTTTTTTGAGGAAGTAACCAATCTGTATGCGACAATAGCGCTTCGTATCCTTTGTCATGGCCGAAAGGGAACGCATCTGCAAGAGTTGAATGGCTAAATATATAATTAATTGAATGATATAGCTAGACTGCACGTACAATCGTCTCCAGATGATTGGCCACCAGCGGTATGGGCATCACCTTAATGAATGTGATGAGAAAGGCGACGGCTGCCTCGGCCTGATGGCGGGACTTTTGCACCAGAAACACCGAAACCTGCTGCAGCACAAACTCCAATGTGCTAACCGTTAGGTGTTGGCCCTGTTGCTGAAGCACAGCACGAAAGGCGAGGATCGTATTCGTTGTTAACGATTCGTCGCCGGTAAAGCCAGCTGTCAGGATGTCAACAAACTCATTAATCTTGCCAGCCTCCTGATACAGAGTGGCAATCTGTTTGATCAGCTGTTCGGCCACCTGCTCCTTGCGTGTCGAGAACTCCTTATAACTAAGCACCGCTTCCGGAATGGCCTTCATCACCAACTGATCGTTGTATGTCAGCTTGCTGCGGCAGTCCAGCAGCGATTTGAGGCAACTGTTGATCGATAAAAATAGAAATGAAAATGTTTAGATTGAAAGTGGGAAAGAAGCTAACTGATTTGCCAACCATCTGAATGCAATTTTGTGCAAACAAAGCTACTGTAATCCGACTTACTGTAAGCGAGATGCCTGGCAAACGCTGCAGGTGGTATTGAAGGCCTCCAGAAGGATTTGCTGCAACAAAATGCAGTTCTTGCGCGTAAATTTCTGGCATGAGGGCAGCTCCGAGGTCATAAGCTCGCGCAATAGCCTGCAAGAGGACATATATAGTAGATAGTAGAAAAAGAATATGCAATTGCTCTTACTCATATGTCTTGCGCTGCTGCTTCTTCATCTTCTGTTCGTCGCGTGCCACCAATTTGGACTTGTCGTTGCGCAGCACGGGCGCCATATATTTCTCGAAATAGGCCTCGATGCCGCGACACTTTTGGACACGAACAATAGCCGCATTTATGTCAAAGTACGCATCATATTCAAAGCTGGCAACTGCACTTTCCGCCAGCAGACTCTGGGCGCTTTCAAAGAGTTGCGCTTGAACCTCGGCGGGCGCACGACCGATATACACACGTATGACGTCCAGAGCGCGCTTCCGTAGATCTGCCTCGTATGTGCCGCTGGGCTTTTGTGTGTAGATGTTGAAGAGGCGCGGCAGAAAATTGCGCGCATACTGTCCAATGGCCGCATGGCATTCGGGACTCTGGCTATCGTCCAGCAGCTCTAATAGCCCGTCATAGATGGGTGCACGAAATTCGGGATTGTGCTCCAAAGCATCGCCCAGTGTGGGCGCCAGTTTACGCAAATATTCCGGATCGCGGGGCTGTCGACAGAAGCCCGGAAACAGGCCCCACAGCTGACAGCATAGAAGCTCATAGATGTGTGCGTTGGACAGATTCTTTTCCTCCAACGAATACTTGCGCCACTGAGACTGACTATTTAATGCCAATGGCACAACATGCTCCTTGAAAAACTGCAAACTGGCACCGTTGGAGCCCTCGCGCATCAATGGCAACAGCCACGAACGCTCCAGCGACAGTTCACCCTTGGCATCGCTCAATGGTAATGCACGCAGCACCAGCTCGGGCCCGAGCGCCTTAATTGCGCTGATCAGCGTGTGCTCAATCTGCAAACGCAAAGCGCCCTGGCTCTCATAGCGTTTGCCAATGGTTGCCAACGAGGGAATCAGCTCGGATCTGGGTGAGCGAGAGAATGAGAGAAAGAGAGAGATAGGCAACAATTAAGTTTGCTATACTTAAGCTAAGGGATACCCTGTAGACGGTTTCACCTACCCAAAGTGCTTGCCGCACGCCTCGAAGACAATAGAGAAGATGAGTATAACATATTTGGAGATCTCGCCGAAGGGTGCATTAAGCACCTTGTGCAGGGCGCCAATTATTTTGGTTACAGATGCACGATATTGATCGGCCAGCTGCTTTGTGGCACAGGCACGCGACACACAATCTTGCAGCAGCTCCTTAATGCAATTGGATACGCCAACGACCAGTTCGCCCCGCTCCGACAGCCACAGATCGGTGGTGCAGATGTCAACGAGGCGCGGCAGCGCTTGCATACACAAATCCAATTGCAGTGCAGCCAAATGCAGATGTCCCTCCTTGAGCACCGTGATCCAGGCAAGCGTTTGCCGCACATCGCTGCGATCCGGCCGATACTCGTGTATGGCAGCAAGCAGCTTGGCGCACAGCGTCGCATTCAGATTGACGCTGCGCGTAAGGAAGAGAGCGTGCAGTGCTTGAAAGCAGTTGGTGCGCACCAGCACATTGGCAGCGGTCATTATGGAGAGCAGATGCTCACAAACGCTGCGTATATCCTCGGTGGAAAAGCCGGCCAGCGTATCCTTGAGCAAGGCGAGCGTATGCAAGACTGTTGTCTGTGCATTGGCCAGCACTTCGGGCTTAAATTGGGCCAGACAAAATTTCGTTACACGATTACTGGCCGGATGATGCTTAATCTTAGCCGTCGCTGCCGCCGCCTGCTGCTGCTGCTGCTGTTCGTCCTTATTATCCTCATCCTTAGCGCCGTCGACTGGCGTTGGTGGCAGCATAAAACAGCTGCCATGTATGATTGAGACCACGGCATGCTGTGCCGCCTTTCGTATCTTGGGTTTGGAGTGAATGCTAAAGGCAAGCAACGCATCAAAGTACTGAAATGTCGAGCTGTACGTCCATGTCGCATAATCCTGAGCGCGCAGCAGCACCGACAAGCAGCCAATCAACTGCAATTAGACGCGAAGCAGAGATTTTGTAAAATACAATTTGAATAATAATAAATCGAATGGTCAGCGTATGTTAGCATAACAGTTTATGCAGAATACATTTCAGACTGATCAGCATAGGATCAGGGTTTCATTACTTACATATCGTATGACGGATTGGCTGCTGGAGTCAATGAAGCGCTTCAGAAGCTGCTGCAGCGTTGCGGCTGTCTGATCGAAGCGTTTGCGCAGCACCGGCGCCGGCACAGACTTGATGCCCATTGAGAGAAGTGCAACGCCGGCAATGATGTCGCGCTCCTCGCTGGCGGCCTCAATTTGGCTGATGAGCAGCAGAAAGTATTCGGTAGAGGATTCGGTGCCGCCGCGTTCGCGTATTATTTCCGTTAGGGCGCTTAAAATGGCCAGCATCTCCT